AACAGACCACGCCCTGGTAGCGCTCCTGGACAACCTGGATCTTCTTGGCACGGATGTTGCCGTTCCTAGAAAACAGATGAAAAATACATCTTGTACTCCTGTACACCATGCTTCAATGTTGAAGCTTTTAAGTTTTCTCAAAAAACTGTTTCTTACTGCATACAATTAACAACACAGAATGTTGGATACTTTATGAACAATTGGGGATCTCCAGTTATGTATTCAAGTTTTTGTAATACTTTATTACTGGGTTGCATTACATTCATTTCAGCAAAATATGAACGTCTATTGGTCTTTCAAAGAGACAGCCAATATTTCATAAGCACCTTTTGTCAGTTGCCAAGAAGAAAGTGACTTTGTCTCCTGGTTTCAGTTTGAAACCATCTTCCACGTCTTCTTGGCCAAACGGCACAAAGAACCACTCGCCACTGTTCTCATAGGACACTCTCCCCAGTCCGTCCTGGGGTCCTACACCAGTCAGAGACTAGAAGACAACAGAAAGACTCCTTTCACCAAATGTTGGGAAAATTGGCCATTGTAAACATGCGCTATCAATTCTTGAAACGTTTAAAAATCTATAGTCACATTCTATTTCATCAAATGAAAATCTTAAAATATTCTGCAGTAATCATTTTTCAATATTCAACAGGCAGCATTTAGAGCATTATGAAATAATTTAGAAAGAGTATATTCCACGAATCCTTTGTTTCTTTTTTGTTTTTAACAAAGTTTCACAAACCACTACATGTTCTTACATGGCGCCTGTTCACAGGTTTGGCCTCGGCAGCCACTGTTCCATTAATTCGTTCTGCACTCAAGATTTCATAGGAAATTTCACTGGAATCTGATTTGACTACACCACATGCTATTGGCTTGCCAGTTCTTTTGTCATAAGACTGGTAGAATTCAACCGCATCTGGAAAATGCACCTCGGGTTATATTATATAATATGATATGTGGCCCTGGCATTTCATCTAAAGTGGCTGTATGACCACCATGATTCCTTTTAACACATACATGTATAGTCCATCAATCTGAACATCAACCACTGCAGATGGAGGTTCATTCATATATTCATAAGATACATTGTTTACTAATTCAGCTACCAACTGTATTTTCTATTGTACACATATCCCACCAATTTTACTCTCTACTACGATATTCAATTTTCATCAAAAATTCATAAATTCTACTACACAGATTGGTTCGACTGAATTTTTAAATTAATAATTTAGGAATGAATAACTGCTTTAAATGCAGATGTGTGACTCCAGATATTACTCAGAAATCTCTGATGCCTCTACCTCCTATTTTCATGTTATCCACATCTCCATTGTATTCACTGAAGTGGAAGAATAGCCTAGCGTCACGTTCACAGCATTGAATAAACCCATAGGAATGCTGGAAAAGTACAGAAATAGAAGGCTGTTAGTACACACACAACCAAACTATTCACCTAAAACCAACAAAATGGCAATGGAAACATCTTATCTTCAAAGTGCACTTTCAGGAAAGAGCATCTGGGAGAGGATTCTTTCTATCCAACAGGTGGCCAAGCCATGATATTTTATGCTTAATTGCCCTGTTAACTCTTATGCCATAGAATATTACTTAAACAGTGTAAGAAACATGTTCACCATCTGTGTTTATTCTGAATTCTTTCCAGTGCAAATAAAGACACACTTTTCACATTAAAAGGCTTTGCTTGATTTTTTTCTTATTGTTTCCATTAAGACAAGTTCTAAACAAATTTTTTTCTTATTGTTTTGATTAAGACACCTTCTAAACAAATATTCTATCTCCTGGCCCTTTTTATTAACATTTTATTCAATTATCCCTTATCTTTTTTACCACATATTATACAGATCATATGGATTACCCTTACATTACAATCAAGTTTCCATATTCTTACCAATAATTTTTCAACAATTCCAGTTTCTCGAATCCCGCTGGTGAGATTGTTATTACTTCCAGGCTGTTGCTGTACGGCAATGTTTCCATAATTTCCATTGGTTGTTCCTGCTGTGGATCTCTCGAAGGCAAGGATGGCGGGGTCATGGGCTGGCGGCGATGGGAAAGCCTGGCAATTTACAAACACACACATAAAGCACCCAAATGTGAGGCAATATATAGAGATATAAAGTAATCTAACACTAAATGTAAGGAGCAGAAATTACAGTCTAAGCCTTCTTACTCTAAAATTATATATTAAATTATAAATTATAACTATTTATCACTTTTATATCTGGTGATTCATAAATCATTGTGGTAGTAAGTTAACTAAAGGATAGAAGCCTTGTAACAAAGCACTTAAATGGTTTTCTTCGTCAATTTAAAATTTGTGTAATGCACAGAAGATTACAACATGTGATGCTCCAAATAAAAAGAAGCTTAATGCCTTAAATCAATATATTGACAGGCTTAAATTCAATAGGTAGTTGGTAATCCATTCCCAGTACACAAATGAATTTAAGGGATAACAACTATTCATTTTGTCAAAAAAAAAAAAAATTTCCTGGGGTAAACAGCAATTTTCCCATGCTAATCAATGGTTATGAATCTGTTCCGACATTCATAGTTAGTTCCTTTTTTTTTTTAAAGCTTGTATTTGTAATAATCTCTTCGGGGATAATTACAGAGGGGGTATCCCTGTATGGAGGTCACATGGTATGATGGCAAGCACAGATTGCAGAATAATTGCAATTGAGCCAAATAGAATTTATTATACTTCTACTAGTTATTTACAATGTATTTATTGTGAAATATGAATCTTATACAAAGAGATGTAATCCCTTTAACAATTACCAATAAATTTTCTCTTCAGACAGAAATTAAATGAAAGTCACAGACTCCTGTCTGCTGCAAAATTCACATTTGTAATTACACTTTTGGGTTTTTTGTAAGATGGATTTTCTTTTTTTTTTCATCTCTTGCCCTGAATCTGTATACAATGGAGACCACCTCATTCCAGATAACAGAGAGTCCCCAACATGTCTCTCTAATCTAGCTGTCTAATGACACAAGCAAGCCCACTTCAAGTTCAAACCAATCCTAGTGTGAATACAACCTAATAAGAGAGATTACATAGCATGTCTTTATCACAACACAGCAGTGAGTAGTCTAATTTTACAGACTCTCTACTACAGGTACACAGCATCCTCTGTCTTTAGAACTCGTAGGAAGGGAACCCGACACTACACAGCTGCTGGACATACATTTATTGATTTTTTCCCCTTTTCTTGCTTTAGGTTTTTTTCACGCAGGAAATCTATGTTACATCCTTGGTGTGTAATGTTATCACATCATCCTCCCTCCCAGATCCAGTATGCAGGCCTGCCTAACTTGACATTCAACATTGCTGGCATGAGCTCAATGCATGATTCATGATTGATGAAAATGAAACACCCAGATTCCAGACCAGTAAAATATTGCATAGCCTCATCTGTAGAGCACTGTAACTAAATTGGTACATAGTGTATGGCACTCTGTGTTCAAAGCCTGAGATCTTTCATGTGCAGAAAATATATGACAGTGTTACATAATAATTTGATAAACTGCTTTACATATTTCCATTTAGGGCAATGTTATTTTCTTCCTCTCTTTCTTCTTTTTCATTTTACACTTCAGAAATACAACTTTTCTTTCACAATGTAAAAAGTAAGAAAACATCACATAATCATTAACAGTTTACACAAAAATATATCCAAAATTGTGATGACTGTATTACTTTCAATTATAATCATACTGAATATTATCATTATTATTATTATTATTATTATTATCATTTTTTTATTATCATTTTTATTATTGTTGTTGCTGTAATAATCATCATTATTAACTACTTAAAATAATTCAATGGAATAAAAACCTGAACAGATAGTTGAGAAGCTTCTTCAATTTAGTTGGTGATTTCTAAAACTTTCCAGTATAACATACAAACAAGAAAGGAGGCAGCAATAATATAAGATGGTCTCTATCTATTTACAAAGGATTTCTTCAACCAATGCCAAAACATTCTCAATAGACACAGCAGTATCCAATAAACCCCCAGACATCTCTACAGGATAGGGAATCCAAGGTTACCTAATGGAAACTGATCTTCATCATGTGATGGAAAGCTTCCATATATTCATAGATGCATGTATTGATAAAAATGATGTGCCTCCAAATTCTATTACATTATGGATATTTACAGAATAAACATTAATTATTCTGTCTGACATTTTGACACTTACACGCCAGCCATCCTGATAAGTTGTTATATCAATATATATCAAACATATGTGATATAGGCAATGTGTGTGTGCGTGCGTGCGTGCGTGTTTGTTTTAAGTTCTTTCTACGGTTTTATTACAAAATTTTAAGTTATTTTACTTAAATAAAAGTCTTATCATCTTACATCACAAGATATCATGAAAATAATGCTTCAAGGTATTTGTGGAATTCTTACCTTCACCTGAGGAGTTGCCATTGTTTTTCTTGATATATTAGCGGCTTCAAGTTGGTTCCCTTTTTTGTTTGATGTTTTTGCTTGAATTCCCAGATGTTTTCTATTCCCCTCAGATGTGGCAGTGCTTGCTCTGACTTCTGGGTAAGATTATAGTGCTTCTTTTAAATTGATTCGGCTTTACAGAGAAGTTGCTTCTTGTGGTACAAAAGGGACCAAGGAGATCAGGTAGATAGAGAGAGTGTCTAGTAGGAGAGACTGCTGAAAGAGTAAATTAATGATATTACGTTCTTTTTCATGGTGACTACTTTTAAATTGGAGGTCTATCCTTCTTATCAGGATAAAACTTTATATTTTCTACTTAACAAAAACGTTATGGTAGTTACTCAGTAAAAGGNTGATTGAGGGTTAATTAAGTGTGAGAGGGATGTTACAAAATGTTATCAAACCCATTTTTGTTGCATAACTAAGGCTAAAATCAGAAATTTAAAAATCTGCTTCATAATAAAAAATTTTGAGTTCAGATTCAATTTCAGGCAAACAAAACTCCTACATTTCTGATCTGCACAGAGAAGTCCACGTCGTCCCCTAGAATCAGTTCATTGATGTCATTCTGGTATTCACTGTAGTGGAAGAAGATCTCCCTGACAACATCTGCCCTCTCAATGAAACCAAAGGAATCCTTCATAGAACAGACCACGCCCTGGTAGCGCTCCTGGACAACCTGGATCTTCTTGGCACGGATGTTGCCGTTCCTAGAAAACAGATGAAAAACACATCTTGTACTCCTGTACACCATGCTTCAATGTTGAAGCTTTTAAGTTTTCTCAAAACACTGTTTCTTACTGCATACAATTAACAACATAGAATGTTGGATACTTTATGAACAATTGGGGATCTCCAGTTATGTATTCAAGTTTTTGTAATACTATATTACTGGGTTGCATTACATTTATTTTAGCAAAATATGAACGTCTACTGGTCTTTCAAAGAGACAGCCAATATTTCATAAGCACCTTTTGTCAGTTGCCAAGAAGAAAGTGACTTTGTCTCCTGGTTTCAGTTTGAAACCATCTTCCACGTCTTCTTGGCCAAACGGCACAAAGAACCACTCGCCACTGTTCTCATAGGACACTCTCCCCAGTCCGTCCTGGGGTCCTACACCAGTCAGAGACTAGAAGACAACAGAAAGACTCCATTCACCAAATGTTGGCAAAATTGGCCATTGTAACTATGCACTATCAATTTTTGAAACGTTTAAAACACTATTGTCACATTATATTTCGTCAGATGAAAATCTTAAAATATTCTGTGGTAATCATTTTTCAATATTCAACAGGCAGCATTTAGTGCATTATTAAATAATTTAGAAAGAGTTTCTTTTTGTTTTTAACAAAGTTTCACAAACCACTACATGTTCTTACATGGCGCCTGTTCACAGGTTTGGCCTCGGCAGCCACTGTTCCATTAATGCGTTCTGCACTCAAAATTTCATAGGAAATTTCACTGGAATCCGATTTGACTACACCACATGCTATTGGCTTGCCAGTTCTTTTGTCATAAGACTGGTAGAATTCAACCGCATCTGGAAAACGCACCTCAGGTTATATTATATAATATAATGTGGCCCTGGCATTTCATCTACAGTGGTTGTATGACCACCATGATTCCTTTTACACATTCATGTATAGTTCATCAATCTGAACATCAACCACTGCAGATGGAGGTTCATTCATATATTCATAAGATACATCGTTTACTAATTCAGCTACCAACTGTATTATCTATTATACATATATCCCACCAATTTTACTCTCTACTACGATGTTCAACTTTCATCAAAAATTCATAAATTCTACTACACAGATTGGTTCGACTGAATTTTCAAATTAATAATTTAGGAAGGAATAACTGCTTTAAATGCAGATGTGCGACTCCAGATATTACTCAGAAATCTCTGATGCCTTTACCTCCTATTTTCATGTTATCCACATCTCCATTGTATTCACTGAAGTGGAAGAATAGTCTAGCGTCACGTTCACAGCATTGAATAAACCCATAGGAATGCTGGAAAAGTACAGAAATAGAAGGCTGTTAGTACACACACGACCAAACTATTCACCTAAAACCAACAAAATGGCAATGGAAACATCTTACCTTCAAAGTGCACTTTTGGAAAGAGCATCTGGGAGAGGATCCTTTCTATCCAACAGGTGGCCAAGCCATGATATTTTATGCTTAATTGCCCTGCTAACTCTTATGCCAATAGAATATTACTTAAACAGTGTAAGAAACATGTTCACCATCTGTGTTTATTCTGAATTCTTTCCAGTGCAAATAAAGACACGCTCTTCACATTGAAAGGCTTTGCTTGATTTTTTTTTTCTTATTGTTTTGATTAAGACAAGTTCTAAACAAATTTTTTTCTTATCGTTTCGATTAAGACACCTTCTTAACAAATATTCTATCTCTTGGCCTTTTTTATTAACAATTTATTCAATTATCCTTCATCTATTTTACCTCATATTATACAGATCATATGGATTACCCTTACATTACAATCAAGTTTCCATATTCTTACCAATAATTTTTCAACAATTCCAGTTTCTCGAATCCCGCTGGTGAGATTGTTATTACTTCCAGGCTGTTGCTGTACGGCAATGTTTCCATAATTTCCATTGGTTGTTCCTGCTGTGGATCTCTCGAAGGCAAGGATGGCGGGGTCGTGGGCTGGCGGCGATGGGAAAGCCTGGCAATTTACAAACACTCACATTAAGCACCCAAATGTGAGGCAATATATAGAGATATAAAGTAATCTAGCACTGAAATTGGCAAGGAGCAGAAATTATAGTCTAAGCCTTCTTTCTCTGATAATTATAAATTAAATTATAAATTATAACTACTTATCACTTTTATATCTGGTGATTCATAAATCATTGTGGTAGTCAGTGAACTAAAGGATAGAAGCCTTGTAACAAAGCATTTAAATGATTTTCTTCATCAATTCAAAATTTGTGTAATGCACAGAAGATTACAATATATGATGCTCCAAATAAAAAGAAGCTTAAATCAATATATTGACAGGCTTAAATTCAAGAGATAGTTGGTAATCCATTCCCAATACACAAATGAATTTAAGGGAAAACAACTATTCATTTTGTCAAAAAAAAAAATAAATAAATGTGGTAAACAGCAATTTTCCATGCTAATCAATGGTTAATGAATCTGTTCCGACATTCATAGTTAGTTCCTTTTTTTTTAAGCTTGTTTTTGTAATAATCTCTTAAGGTATAATTACAGAGGGTAGCCCTGTATGGAGGTCACATGTTATGATGCCAAGCACAGACTGCAGAATAATTGCAATTGAGCCAAATAGAATTTATCATATTTCTACTAGTTATTTACAATGTATTTATTGTGAACTATGAATCTTATACAAAGAGATGTAATCCCTTTAACAATTACCAGTAAATTTTCTCTTCAGACAGAAATTAAATGAAAGTCACAGACTCCTGTCTGCTGCAAAATTCAGATTTGTAATTACACTTTTGGGTTTTTTGTAAGATGGATTTTCTTTTTCTTCATCTCTTGCCCTGAATCTGTATACAATGGAGACCACCTCATTCCAGATAACAGAGAGTCCCCAACATGTCTCTCTAATCTAGCTGTCTAATGACACAAGCAAGCCCACTTCAAGCTCAAACCAATCCTAGTGTGAATACAACCTAATAAGAGAGATTACATAGTATGTCTTTATCACAACACAGCAGTGAGTAGTCTAATTTTACAAACAGACTCTCTACTACAGGTACACAGCATCCTCTGTCTGTAGAACTCATAGGAAGGGAACCCGACACTCCACAGCTGCTGGACATACATTTATTGATTTTTCCCCTTTTCTTGGTTTAGCTTTTTTTCACGCAGGAAATCTATGTTACATCCTTGGTGTGTAATGTTATCACATCATCCTCCCTCCCAGATCCAGTATGCAGGCCTGCCTAACTTGACATTCAACATTGCTGGCATGAGCTCAATGCATGATTCATGATTGATGAAAATGAAACACCCAGATTCCAGACCAGTAAAATATTGCATAGCCTCATCTGTAGAGCACTGTAACTAAATTGGTACATAGTGTATGGCACTCTGTGTTCAAAGCCTGAGATCTTTCATGTGCAGAAAATATATGACAGTGTTACATAATAATTTGATAAACTGCTTTACATATTTCCATTTAGGGCAATGTTATTTTCTTCCTCTCTTTCTTCTTTTTCATTGTACACTTCAGAAATACAACTTATCTTTCACAATGTAAAAAGTAAGAAAACATCACATAATCATTAACAGTTTACACAAAAATATATCCAAAATTGTGATGACTGTATAACTTTCAATTATAATCATATTGAATATTATTATTATTTCATTATTATTATTATCATCATTTTTTAATTATCATTTTTATTATTGCTGTTGTTGTAATAATCATCATTATTAACTATTTAAAATAATTCAATGGAATAAAAACCTGAACAGATAGTTGAGAAGCTCCCTCAATTTAGTTGGTGATTTCTAAAACTTTCCAGTATAACATACAAACAAGAAAGGAGGCAGCAATAATATAAGATGGTCTCTATCTATTTACAAAGGCTTTCTTCAACCAATGCCAAAACATTCTCAATAGATACAGCAGTATCCAATAAACCCCCAGACATCTCTACAGGATAGGGAATCCAAGGTTACCTAATGGAAACTGATCTTCATCATGTGATGGAAAGCTTCCATATATTCATAGATACATGTATTGATAAAAATGATGTGCCTCCAAATTCTATTACATTATGGATATTTACAGAATAAACATTAATTATTCTGTCTGACATTTTGACACTTATACGCCAGCCATCCTGATAAGTTGTTACATCAATATATATCAAACAAAAGTGCTATAGGCAATTGTTTTTTTTTTTTTTTTTTTTTTTGTATTTTTATAGTTAAGATGAGGGATTCAATATATTAAGTTGACTCACATAAGCAGCACGAAAAAAAATTTATTTCAATTCACCTAAACATCATGCTGAATAAACGTCTCCCAGCTCCTTTTTCTTTAACTAGAGGAAATTTGTAAAGAATGTGATGGCACTACTGAAAGTCAAGTTTTGGTGGTGAAAAGGCATGGGTCAGAATTTATGTGATTTCAATTGATTTCTATTATTTGACTCTTCACCAGTTCTTGGAAGTCTAAGTGGGTTCTTATTAATAGAGACATTATTTGAAGCACTTAAAGTATTATTTTTTATGATTTTTATTGATTNGTGTGTGTGTGTGTGGTTTTTTTTTGTCTTTTTTAACTTCTTCCTACAGTTTTATTACAAAATTAAAAGTTATTTCACTTAAATAAAAGTCATCATCTTACATCACAAGATATCATGAAAATAATGCTTCAAGGTATTTGTGGAATTCTTACCTTCACCTGAGGAGTTGCCATTGTTATTCTTGATATATTAGCGGCTTCAAGTTGGTTCCCTTTTTTGTTTGATGTTTTTGCTTGAATTCCCAGATGTTTCCTCTTCCCCTCAGATGTGGCAGTGCTTGCTCTGACTTCTGGGTAAGATTATAGTGCTTCTTTTAAATTGATTCGGCTTTACAGAGAAGTTGCTTCTTGTGGTACAAAAGGGACCAAGGAGATCAGGTAGATAGAGAGAGTGTCTAGTAGGAGAGACTGCTGAAAGAGTAAATAATGATATTATGTTCTTTTACATGGTGACTACTTTTAAATTGGAGGTCTATCCTTCTTATCAGCATAAAACTTTATATTTTCTACTTAACAAAAACATTACGGTAGTTACTCAGTAAAAGATGTCAAAGGTCAAGTTCCTGTTTTTTAATAAAATATGATTCAACCTCATTTCCTCTTTGTTCCAAGTTCTTCATCTTTACCCTTCTATCTCCTAACTCACACACAAATACAGAAAATTTCAGTCGTTCATTAGCAAATGAAAAACTGCATGATTTCAATAAAACATAATCATTTTTAAACCTTCCTTCAATATTCGCGTGATTTAATGCTAAAGACTACATCAAGCGCAACCAGAGGCCAGGCCCATCCCTTTCTTTATGACCAACATCTTTTTTCAATCTTTTCCTCTAAGTCAGAAAAGTGCTAATACATTTCATCTCTGATTTTAGGTTAACTCGCTTCCATTTTCTTCAAGTGACAAAGATTTATCTACATGGACTTGGGCCAAGTTTGATAAACGTGCCAATCTACGCAGTGATAAAAATGTAAACATAAGTCATGCCACAACAATGAAAATCCCCGTTCCTTTGCCAAGGTCGACATAACAGTCAAGCGTTCAGTAAATATGAGTGTCACTTTATCAATTTCCCAAACACTTTATTTGCCAGTTTTTTCCAGCCTTTTCTCAATAAAATCTAATTACTTAAGTGAGTCTCGTGTATACTTTGAAAGCAAAATTTCAACCTACCCCAGTTGAGCAAAGCACTGCAGGCATGCCGCCATGTTGAATTTTAATGATATACTCTCATAACTTCTCGAAACTGTTTAAATGGAATGAGTGAAAGAAAGTCTTGTTTTGACTCATTGAAATCCATCAAATGCTATATTTGCGGCATTTGATTATATGGGTGTTAATATCATTCAGTAGAATGCATAATGAATAAAAAAGACATCAGTAGAGAGTACTACACATATTTTGATGACGTAATTACCAAAACAAGTTTGAGGAAGGCCGGAAGCAGAGAAAGAAGTGGTAACAGTATCTTTAAGGTAGTGTTGAAGTATTTAATCTGGTTTTTGATTTACAATGATATCGAACATTTCACTTTATGATATTTTTCTAGACAACAATTAAGAATGTAGGATTTTGATTATTCTGCTTGATATTTAGGCAGTCTTTGAAGTAGACCTTTATCTTGGCCTGATTCAGTGATTGTGTGTTGTGATGATCATGAGTCAGATTGTAATACAAGCAAATAATTGAGCAAAATGCTGTTGATAAAAGACGTTTCCTTTTTTAACCCCCATAACATATATGTCAGGGTAATATAATGGTGATATTATAGTTAGCTTTAGCTTGTAACCGTAATTTGCGTTTATGTATTGATAACACTTGTCTCCACTCCTGTTAAATCTCAACAACTATGAACTCACTTTTATTCTGTGAGAATAATTAACTCTACTACAGTACTACAGTGGATGATAGATTTTGTTTCAGTTTTGACCCACAAGACAAAAGTGGATCCATTGTTTCTACTTTTCCCTTGTATTCTCTGTTATTTGCAGACATGCTGAAAACTTTTCAGAATTGCCGGACATTTGGACCAGCAGTAATGAAAAATTTGCCGGACCGAATGGATTTTTGTCGGACCGGAAATCACTCTATTCATTTGGGACAGATACTACCAGTACGATTAGGGTAGCTTACTTTGTTTGTGAATGTGATAGTTTTGAAACGGAAGGGAAAAAACGCTTTGGGTTTTATATTATTTTATTAGTGAAGTATGTCGAAAGATGACTGTAAATTCAAAATTGCAGTTCTTAAAACTCTTGTCGGTCCTTTGGACCGACCAAGTCCAATTTTCTACCGGTCCAGACAAAATTTCCCGGTCATGACCGATCAGACCGACAGTTTCAGCATGTCTGTATTTGGAAGAATTTGTTTTGTTTTTTGTGTGAAAAATAAAATGTTTATTTTATTTACCTTACAGACAAAAGTATAAACTAATTCATCATGCCTTTAGAATGGCTATTTGGGAAGAAAAAAACTCCACAGGAGATGCTACGTCAAAACCAGAGAGCCCTGAATAAAGCTATGAGAGAACTGGACAGGGAAAGAACAAAAATGGAACAACAAGAAAAGAAGGTGATTGCTGATATAAAGAAGATGGCCAAGCAAGGTCAAATGGTGAGTTATGTGTGTACAAATGCAGTTAATGCAGGGATCCATATCAGATATGATGGGTTGGCTGACATGGCAAAAGAATTCACTTAATTTTTATAGTACTTTAATGAATCTTAAATTTTATCATCATAAGGACAGTATGAATTATATATTTGGTTAGATATTCATATGGGTGTAAATGTTAAAGATATAAAGCATATTTTTATCCATTAGTGACATACAACAATTATTTTTTTCCATGATGCAATTTTTAAAACTAAAATTGATGTCATAATTTTTAATTATTAAATGTGAAATTGTTTATCAAGCTTGACAAATAGGACTTGTGTTAATTTGCTATTAAAATTTTTTTTTCTTTAAAAATTTTTTTTTTTATTTCATTTTGACAGGATGCAGTTAAGATAATGGCCAAAGACTTGGTGAGGACGAGAAGATATGTGAAGAAGTTCATTCTAATGAGGGCTAATATCCAAGCAGTCTCACTAAAGATTCAAACCTTAAAGTCCAATGACTCCATGGCCCAAGCTATGAAGGGGGTCACAAAGGCAATGGCAACAATGAATAAACAGGTTTGTAAAAAAAATGGAATTAATCTTGGATTCTTTCTGTGCTAACTTAGTAACTGGGGAAGTAAACTTTAGAAGTGTGAAAGACATTTGGATAAAGTAAATGAAAACTAGAAATTTTTATAAAAGTAGAAAGAGCTGTTCTTTTCTAAATCTGAATGGGTTATTGTCCCAAGGGCCCATTTGGCTAAGATGCAAGAAGGCTTTATATCTTTCACACATTCATCCGTACCATTCTGTTGTAGCTAAAACTACCACAAATCCAAAAGATAATGCAGGAGTTTGAAAAACAGTCGGAGATGATGGACATGAAGGAGGAAATGATGAATGACGCCATTGATGATGTGATGGGAGATGAAGAGGATGATGAAGAAAGGTGAGAATAATGCAGTGGATTTGATTTCTCAGGTTTATAATTTTGTCATTAGATATAAGAGTGTAGATGAAAACCCAATAGTTTCTAGGGCAAGGGCAGGTAAATGTGAATTACTGCTGTGATCACCATAGATGACATGTCTGTAAGTGATCTGGTGTTGATACATTCTGATTTTATCCTCTGTCATTTAAGAGCATGATCGTAAATTAAATAAGTGCTGTATTAGCTGTTGCAAGAGAATTGAATTTTTTTATATGCTCTACAATGTAAATGTGCTTAAGCATGGTCCAAAGTTAATATCAAATTACAAAAAAATGTGAATATAAGAATTGTAAATTATCATTTTAGTGATGCCATTGTGGGCCAAGTGTTGGATGAATTAGGTCTGCAGATAGCTGATGAGATCTCAGGTAAGTTAACATTAATTTTTATAATACAAAATAAGCTACCAGTTTATTACAATAAACCTCACATTATTTGGGTGCTACATGTAATACTTGGTTTATATGTTTACATGTCCAACAGTGTGTGTAACTCGTTTATTATTTGTAGGTCTACCCACCGCCAACCAAACTACACCTTATTTGGGTGCTGCATGTAATACTCTGTTGATATGTTAACACATCTAATAGTGTGTTGTTTATTGTTTGTAGGTCTACCCACCGCCAACCAGACGGTGTCCTCCGGACCATCAAAACAGCCGCAGGCGGCAGCTGCTGGAGGAGTGAGTGAAGCAGACGCAGATTTGGAAGCCAGGTTAGAGAACCTGAGGAGGCAATAGTAAACAGAGACATTCAAAAACTTTTAAAACAGGAGGTCATGTGTAATCTAGAAAGAGACTGTCAAAATGGATAAAAAAACTTTTTGTAACATACTGTATTTAATATGGAATTGCAGCACGTGTAAAAGACCAGCTTATCTGCCTTTTAGGAAGACTTTCTTTTGCACTTGCTGAGAAGCGCTGCAAGTATTTTGACAATAGATAAATCCAAAGAGGAAAATATCATTTTATATTGTAAATATATTTTTTTCAATCAATCATTATAAGTTTATTATGATAATGAGATATATTCCTTCAATAGAATACACAAGATATTTAGCATATGTACATTTTCAACCCAATTTAAAACATCAAATACTTAATTTTGCCGTACCTTTTTAAAATGAAAATTAATGTTTCTTGTTTTGAGGTATTTATTCTGTCATAGTTCACTTTTCTCATGTCAACTTGAATATTACATGGTTCTCCTAAAACATTAATAGATTGCCTTTAAATTTACAGCAAAGGAGTTACAGAAAATAGAATTCTTATCATGTCATTGCTGTCTGATTGTGAACTGTTTGTATTCGGTTGTCTTTTTTTTCTGGAATGACAAAAATATTTGTAGAAATGTAAAAATTTATTTAATCTTAAACTCTTATTAATAAACGCATATGGTGTTTTGTGTTTTTCAGGTTAATTTTGCTCTTTGTGTAAAAGAGGGTTTTTTTATGGATGATTAAAAGTAATTTTGCCCTACATATTACCTTTTCTCTGTAAATAGTGTGATATGATGCCTTCAAGACTTCCTACAACCATTTCCAGTCACAAAATTATTTACACTGCCCAATTTTGATGTATGCTAATGAAAATGAATCAAGACCACCTTGTTTTAACAGTATGTTTTTATTGTTCTGCCTGGCACCAAGCATTTCAGTAGGTCAGCATTGTTGTTCATTGCAGTAATGCAGTTCATTATGAAAATTTGCCTCTTGATGTTGTTGAACAATTATAAAAAGCATAACTGATACAATCTATAATTGTACTTTTTTGAAGAGAAAGAACTTTCAAGATGCTACAGTACTGTACCTGATACAGGTATACCTTTGTATAAAAAGGTTTTATGTACATATTGTTCTGTTACAGAAATCCATACTTGACCATGCAGGCAAACACCTTCCTATAAGACCTTGTATAAAACAATTAAGTACCATGTCTATTCATTTATAAAGTGCTGGTTACAGGCAAATGCCAGCCAATTTAGCAGGTGTCCCTAACTTCCTGCTCTCCCTTTGTCTATCAGACCTTGTATAGACACGGGGATCCAGTTCATCCCTCCCTAACTTCCTGCTCCCCCTTTGTCTATCAGACCTTGTATAGACACTGGGATCAAGTTCATCCCTTCCTAACTTCCTGCTCCCCCTTTGTCTATCAGACCTTGTATAGACACGGGGATCCAGTTCATCCCTTCCTAACTTCCTGCTCCCCCTTTGTCTATCAGACCTTGTATAGACACAGGGACCCAGTTCATCCCTTCCTAACTTCCTGCTCTCCCTTTGTCTATCAGACCTTGTATAGACACAGGGACCCAGTTCATCCCTTCCTAACTTCCTGCTCTCCCTTTGTCTATCAGACCTTGTACAGACACAGGGACCCAGTTCATCCCTTCCTAACTTCCTGCTCTCCCTTTGTCTATCAGACCTTGTATAGACACAGGGACCCAGTTCATCCCTTCCTGCATAAATATCACACTTCTGTCCATGTACACCTGAACACTGCCAAACTTGTACACTTGCTTAGCTTCGTAGGTTTTGTTGGGTACTGGCATGAAAAGTAAACCATTTTCTTCAGCCTGGAAAGAAGTAAATTCAATATCAGTATTGATGAGTACCAAGAATCAAAATGCAAATACAGATTATTAGACTTCACTAATCAACGCAATACATACATCCACCCACCTACCCTTAGTACCGTTTTGTTTCGTATGTGTAATTATACAACAACCAACCCTATGTTTTGTTTTAATATCACCCTTTCAGTAAACAACTTCCGATTTTTTACTGCGTTGGCCCCATGACAACCCTCCACCCCCTCTTTCAATGCATCATAACACCAGTCTGTGGAGGGCACTTGTTTTCATGAACCAAGAAAACAGAACTGAAGTCTACTTTAAAATAATTACCTTTCTTTCCACCAAGTCCTTGAAACTGGAGGGTACTGTCTGTGAACTCTGTACAGCCTGATTGAAGAAATATTATTATTATTATTATTTTAAGAGCAATCTGGGCACTACGAGTAAAGAGAGAAAAACTATTGTCATAAATTCTGCAAAGTTCTTCACAAAATAAATCAAAATATGCCACATAATATATAGTGGTATTTCTAAAATTGCAATATTATAACACTATCTCATATATAAATACATAAATTTCCTTAAAACGATCTCCAAAAGAAGGAAGCTTTTCCTCAGTACCTCATACTCCTCCATAGATCTCCTGTCCTGTGTAGCTTTACTCTCAAAGTCCCTCCTCCTCTCAGTATGTGTGAGGTAGGCAATGTTCTCTCTGGCACCAGGCTGGTAGGGGTTGCCAGACACTGCTCTGTTCATTATCTCGAGGGCTCGACTGAACTGTTCTGATATAGGAAAAAGGAAAGTAATATATATATTGTATATATTCATGGCATAACCTGAGTGAAGATGTGACATAAAAGGATTAAATATTTTTGCATTACATTAAACATGAAAGTTAAATTTTCCAGCACAGTATTTACAGTAATTGCTCCAGCTCTGTTGAACGTAAAAAAGTATTGTGTTCCAGTCAACAATGATGGTGTACAATTCATGTGTTACAACCAAGTACATAGAGAATACCTTTAATGGCGCCATTAGCCAGCAAGTCTGTCGTGAACATGGACTTCCATCCCATGTACCACTTGGTGACCTCGTCATAGTTTGGATGGCTGTTCAGCCAGGTGCACAACACGGTGAGCCACTTGGGGAAAAAATGGCGCTCCAACAGGGAGACCTGGTGCTGCAGTGGCATAATATCCTGCCAGCTCATCACCCAGGTCCAACCATCTAAAACATGTTGGAAAAATGAAACCCACAAAATCGAAATGCTACAGACAAGTAACTGTAGAAAAGTTATGATCCCCATTTTTACAATTTACTGAGAAGGGAACCTGGAGAATGAGAAATTGGTTGCCCATAAAATCATACTATTTCAAAGTGTGTTATTATAGAGCCAAAATTTGTTCTACAAATTTCAACACTTTTCATACCCTTTCCAAAACTGTTGAGGAAATTATGATATCTAAAACAAGTTTTGAGTTCTAAATCTCCATTAAGAAATAAGAGACTTGAACTCAAAAACTGGTATACAGATGGCAATTCTGCCAGCAGATTTTGATACAGTGTACCTTGTCCATTGATAAGAAAGTGCTGAAACTGTCAGAAAAAACATAAATATCCATATCATATTGTAATCTTAATCAACTGACAGTGTTATAAAGTTAAAGAGGTTCAAAATGTTAGAAGTACATAAAATATTCCACATGCAATATATATCATGGTGAGAAAAGGACAAAAAATTCCTACCTAAATGTTGGTTGTGAGGGTTGATGACAAACTCCTGCATACAGAGGTTTAGTTTGGGCAGGATATTCTTAGCTAAGAAAGCATCTAGATGTCCCTGCTGGAACACCTTCCTCCATGGTTCCAGTATCATCTTAGCTGAGGGGTCTGATGGATGCCAGTTCTTCAGGGCATTAGCTAGCTTAAACCTTATAGGAGCATAGAGGGTCTCCAGCTTGTCTCCTGGGAATGAACATTGAAGTCGAGTAATGGATATTTTTGTTTACTTTTCTAAGGTTTGTTTATTTAATTTTCTAAGATGATGGTGCCACGAGTTTCTAAACTGACTTCATGTGCTTAAATTAAGTATAATTGAAAGAAATTACAGCAGGAATTGTGACACATTTGTGACATCTGGATGATTTTACTTTAAACAATATGCTTCAAATTTATATACTTTTAAAGACAATTTCTTTTTTTAACTCATACTCAAACATAGTCTCCTCTCAAGACTATTTACCAATGAGTGGCAGCCAGGGGTGTATCCAGGCATGGATGGGCATGGTGTCCGTGAGGGGGTTCCAAGCCTCCACCTCAGAGGTCAGTTTTGGCATAACCAGCTGGTCCTGGATGTTCTGCATTACCCAGGGGGGCAGTAAGGGCAGCCAGTTCTCAAGGACAGTGATGAGGGGGTCTGGGGAACGGACTGACCAGTCATTGCTGGAAATACATGTTTGATAACGGTCAGTTAATGGCTTGGCGTTAACCAAGTCAAGAAAATAATATAATATGGTGGTAATATACTTTGTAATAACTCTATGACAGTCTGCATTGTTTTACAGGGAAGGTGGGGGTGGGCCAGACAACAAAGATCAATATACAATTTAGTTCAATCAGTTAAAAATCTAAAAGTCTTCATCCCTTTGAATTAGTTTCTAGATCATAAGGATGCGGGGGGGGGGGGGGGGGGGGGGGGCAGGAACATGGCTATCTTCTTAGTTGACCAAGATATCCCAACGTGTTGCATATCAACAGAAAGCTTATTTCAACAGCTTTTTCATTTCACATCCTTATTTTATTGTGTAAGAAGATAGCCACGTTATGGTCACCCCCTCCCCCTCTCTGCATCCTAAGTATAACTTACGCTATAGTGGATCTGATGGTAGGCATCCAGGCCTCCCAGACCAGCCTCTGGTAGGGGTCCATGCCGTCTGTCTGGCCAAACTGACGGTTACTGTCCTCCAGGATGGCCTTCCACAGCTGCATGGTGTCCAAACCAAAGGAAGGCTGCTCAAGGGGCTTCCAACCAGAAAAGTACTTCTTTACCTAAGAATAATAATTATATTGATTTTTTTATCATAAATACTGAATTACAGACTCTGATTTCATACATGAAAAACAACACTTTTATTTTAATAACATCCATTTTTTTAAAAGTTCTCTGCAAGTAATAAATAAAAACAAACATTTTAAAATAATAATAATAATAATGTTAACAAGTGAAGACTCCTCACCATAGGGAAGACCATTCCCACTGCCAGGTTGGATAAGTCATACATTTTATACTCCTCATAGTACTCTGCCTGTAGCTTCCTGAATACCTCGGCACACTCCTCCAGACTCAGTGGATTACTGGCTCCATCCTGCATACGGGCCTCACAGCTGGAATGCAGAATGACATCTGGTAGGGTGGGTTATAAAGCCCATGGTCTCTATAGACTGAATAACCTGTGACACTGTATGTTTTATAATGCTACACACTACATGAATTACCCATGGCACTGTATGCTTGCTCTACCCTATAAAATTACTCATAGCCTTTTTAATGTTTTATAATGCTATATGCTATAAAGGATAATTCAAAATAACATTCATCCAATGTCAATCCTTGTAAGCATAAAAAGACAAGTTTATAATTCAGTACAATGGGGGTTGGCATTCCCCACTGTGTTGCCACTTCAATGTCTAACCTTTCAACCAACTCCAAGACATCTTGCAACCTTTTGACTTGTTTCTCTTCCTGGTCGCAAACCTCCTTCAAGCTCTCCTTCTCGTAGGTCATGTTTACCACAACATCCTTCTCATACTTCAGTCTGAAACAGATTTACATGGATGTTAACTGACAGGCTACACAAACCATCTACATTCAGAATTTTCTTTCCTAAATCACAACAAAGTTCATTAACATCTTTATATAAAATAGCCACCAAAAGTACTTTTTTTACATTAAACTGAACCCTACTGGGTTTCAAATTAAAAATACCAATACAAAAAGAGGCACTTAGTATGGTTGTTTAACTTACGTTCTATCATTCTGAATGATGTCTTCTTCAGCCATGTCCACCAGCAAGTTGAGGTTATGCAACAGTTCAGGAACATCGAAGGCTTTCTGTTGAGGCTGTACCACTGGGCGTTCTTCCTCATCCGAGTCTGGCCTGTCATGGCGGTTGCTGATGGCGTGATAACCTTTCCAAGAAGATATTACCGACCATAAATATCCCAAGTTAATATGAAACATCTAATAGTGAAAATTAAGGCATTATGGAAAAGCAAGCACTTCTATACTATATTTTGAAATTTGATCACTATGGCAATTCTATTATTATTATTATTATTATTATTATTATCATTATTATCTGCACCTACTGCTGTGGTTTGTGCTTCTTAACAGAGTCAGTATATTATATGAGAACACATCACACTTCTATAAATACACATTTACATAGTTACGCTAGTCAATCAAGTTTTTATCCATTTTTATTATCAGCTTACCTGTCAATACCCTCTGCTCCTTGGACGTCATATCAATGACCTTGACATTGGACAGGTGACTTGGCATGGCAGACTTCTTCTTCCCTCCTTTAGGACCTCCTTTCTCAATGACCTCCGCAGCTGTTTTATACAAATATTTGGGTTTCTTCTTTTTGTCAGCCTGCTGTAAAAATACCAGTAACCTTACAGCTGTGGACATTACAAAATAAATCCTGCATGCATACATTCTGAAGTGTTTAACTAAATTCCCATCTCTCACTGTTGTTGCACTTCACTTCTCACTAACTTTATTCATGAAGTTACTTAATGAGTCAACAAGACATAACTCTCCTTTAATCTATTAAATTAATCTATTAAATTTTTCAATTTACATCATTTTAGAAAAATAAACCAATAACCAATTAATCAATCAACTTAAGACAATGATCCTCTACCTCTCCACCTCCTTTCCTCCACTGGTGCAATTGTTGTCTGAACTCCTTCTCCTCCTCTTCCTCGGAGTCGACCTGGGCTGGGAAGTCCTGCAGCGAGCGTTCTGTTCTTTCACTTCCATAAAACCCAATGGCCGCCTTACCGTCCCTCTTTTTGGCAGTGACTGGTGTGGAAATACCTTGCAGGTTTTTACCAAGACCTTTCCCTGGTACATATCCCATCTACAAAAGATAAATGTGAAATTCTTTTTATATATTGTCAGCTAAGTTTTAGATCATTTCAACTGAAAACCGAACGACTATAAACAATTGCCTACGTTTTTAGAGAAAAATTAACTGTAATTCAAACATCATGAACAAAAAGCGGTTCAATCAACTATGCAACTATTCCTTACCTTGGCGAGGAGTTTGCCTCCAATCCCTTTTGTACTTTTCTCCCAGTGACCAAAATGTCTATAAATGAATTGAAATGGACAAGAAGTGAGATGTTCTTTAAACCGGTGATCACAATGTACAGTCACATAATAGATAAAAAACACATTCTGAATGACCTTAAATGCAATTATTCATGCCTAAAGTAAACCTAAGAACTGAATATTCTATGCATTTAAAAATAGCGTAAACTTTATACATTTTAAAAAGTCAATTACTATTCAATGATTCATCAATGATTTTTTAGGCATAACATATTCACTCACTCTTCTCCAGGTTTGTATGGACCCTTCTTTCCTTTATAACCTCCTCTTTTCCTTCCTCCAGCCATGGCAGATTGAAAACTATTAGAAGGCATAGCAACATCTTCATCCTTTAGGGAACAAAATATATTAATTGACATTTCTTGAAATACTTAGTACAGTGCTATAAATGTTATTTTTTAGGTCTGGATTGCTTCTTTTCAAATTATTTCTTGTAGAATGCATCAGTAAATATCACTGCAAATACTGAAGGGAGCAATTTCGGTAAATATACAGACACTAGAAAAAATGCTGAGCCATCAAAAACAACTTAACTTTGGTTTGAAAGATAAACATGTTAGTGCTGGATTTACCTAGTCTAAATGCCAAAAAAGGGGGAAATATGAAGCATTGACAATTAATTCCAGATTGTTCTTTTAAAAACCCTGCATCAAATTCATAAAGATACTTTATCTTGTACCTCATCTTCTTCCTCGTCGTCGTCTTCTTTCTCAACTTTGCTCCCTCTTTTAATCCCACCACTGACAAAGCCAATAGGAGCTGTGTAGTCTTTCTTTTTCTTCCTCCCCTCCCTGCTGGTACCAGGCTGACCTTCCTCATCACTGTCATCTGCCCACACACCTGGGGTATCGATGGTAACATTGTAAAATCCAATTATCTCCTCAAGATTAAGTACAATTTCCTCAAATATGCCCCATTCATGTTACTACGCAAAAGTATATTTATTGAAACCAAATAAATTATTTTTCAGTTATATCTGATTACCAAAAGAGACTATGATCTAAACTAAGTGGAAAAAACTACAGGGACTGGGCAGGGTAGACCTAACTTCGATACCTCAGTGGTAGAACACTTGCACAGTGAGCTACTAAACTAAACATTCATCTTGTCAAGGGCACTGAGGAATGTTTTGTAAATGAGATATATGTCAGTGAACATACCATAGATGGCCTGGTTCTTCGACATCCTAAACCTCTTCCTGTATGGGTCCATCTCATTCAGTAGGTCTTCATCTGTGACCTCAAACCTCTCCACCTCTGGAGATGACATTTTTGCTGTATACTAAATCCTAAAGCAAATGAAAAAGAAAATATATCATTACAAGAGAACTTGCAGTTTGTCAATGGTCACCAGCAAGTCCAGAGTGCATAACAGAAAATACCTAGTATCTCTTTACAAATCACTGACACCTCACTAATGTATGGTTGTACTTTGATCAAGCCTACATTTCTTTGCATGAACATGTTTAAGGCAGTGCCACAAAAAATCCAGACACATACANTAAACACAGGAAAGGGTAATCTCAAATAAAATAGGGTGATATAAAAGCAAAATATAGTACATAGTAATTAATATTGCTGATACAACTTGACAATTATTTCATTGTTTGGTCAGCCGCCATTTTGGCGAGTAGCTCTTCTTGGCCAGTAATATATCCAAGAAGAGCCACTCGCCAACATGGCTGCCAACCAGACAATAAAAAAGTCTTGCTGATTTGTTAAGTTATATCAACGATATTACTTACCTAGTAATATAGGTTGTTTTTATATCACCATACTTTGCTGGGAATGGTCATTTCATTGTGTAATTGCAACTGGATTTGATTTTTGAAGTGTATTGCACTGTGTTGCGCTGTATTGCGGTGTATTGCGCATTTCAGTCACACCGAGTCCAGAGTGCATAACAGAAAATACCTAGTATCTCTTTACAAATCACTGACACCTCACTAATGTATGGTTGTACTTTGATCAAGCCTACATTTCTTTGCATGAACATGTTTAAGGCAGTGCCACAAAAAATCCAGACACATACATGCCAAAAACAATATTATATATGATAATTACATTTATTTACATGGTCATGAAATGTAAATACTGTTAACCTTTTTTCAGTATAATTATATAAATCAGTACCACTCTATGCAGTGTTATGTAACATTATAAAATCAGACACGACTCATAGTACTAGTAACAAATCTACAAATATAAGTAATAAGTGCTATCAATTTGATTGCGAACTCGCCGGGGAATCAATTTTCACGATTCGTTGTTCAAAGCCAAACGACAGAATTTAGAAACTAATTTAACTTTTTCGTCTAAAACTATTGAATCTAAGTAATGGTGCATCTGTGATCTTACCCCTTCTCCTAAATTCAACGAAACAATTGAAAGAAATTTAATTATGCACTTCAATACAAAGTAAAGTCAGCAAGACGATTTACAACTACACCAACATCGTGCCAAAACGTTTTTCCCATTAACGACCTTCACCTTTATGAGATCTCGCGATAAATGGCGAGGTTTTTATCTTCGCATAGTTAGGCATCAATGATATTTTATTTATTTCAACGAGAAAACACAGAAAAAAATTATTGTAAATACCACCAAACGATTAAATATGCCTAATTTGTAGAATTCAATCATATATGATGTTGACAAGATGCATTATTTGAACAAATTCTTTATAAATATCAGTTAGGCAAGATCCAATTACGGTCACATGACGTAGCAACATCAAACAGTCTGGGCTCCCATTAGGGAAGGAGAGGGAATATTATGGAAAGAGGTACAGCATTATGTTAAATTAAATCGTAAAATGGACAATGAATTGAAAAACTGTCTAATTGGAGTACCCTTTTTCAATGGCCATGAATTTTGTTTTCATTACTTATAATTCAAAGTGGCGTTTATCGTGTTAAAAATAACCAATTTAACGTACTGTACCTGTGCCAATAATGTCATAATTATTGTATTAATAATGCTGCTGATATGATAATGAGAGTCTTGATATTTGTAGCCCGCCAGCCAGTTGCAATGGAAGCAGTACGTGAAGAAGATGACGAAGAATCCTGGGATGGATCACAAGCATCAGGGGTAAGGAAATTGAAGACAGGATTGACGTTTTAACTTGTAATTGTTGTAATTTCAAATAAAACAGAAGGATAATAAATGTTGCTTTAAGATTTGTCAAGTCCATAGCAAATCTAAAGCTACTCCTTAACGAAAGCTAAAAAATTATTGTGTTAGTATTATGGATGATCCACATGTTACAGTAATATATAACATTGATGTCTTTATATGACAATTAAGTGGCATGTGAATTAATCATATTTTGACAGCTTTCTATATTTCATTACTAGGATGAAGGTGGAGGGGGGATTAGAAAGAAAGGCCCCAACCAGTTTGATAACTTGTGTGATGGGGTATTGAATGCAATAGCTTTGGTGCATGAGGAGTTACAAGAAGTGAGGTCCCTGTAGTTTTGTGTGCAAAAATACGATATTATTTCATTGTAAAAATACCAGTAATATCAAAATAGAGTAATATGCTAGGAGATATGTTCTCTGATAACTATTGCAGACCTGGACAATTTTATGATTATTTTTTATTTAATTTTTTAATAACTGTTGTGAAAAATGACTTCATCTCTTATCCATAGAACACTATCTCACAGTAATACAGAAATTATCCACTTTATGACAGTTGTGTATCCTTTTTTTTTAGAAAAATATATGTTTACTTTTTCCTCTTATTAGACTAATTCTCTTTGATTTTGACTTGTGGTAATCATGGGATGTATATCCTTTTTTAAGTCAGTATCTCCTTAACATTTATTTATCTTCTAGTTTTTGGATCTGAAAAATGAGCTGCTTCGCCATGCTTTACCCCCCAATGTCTTGATGAAGATTGGAATTACTTCAGGAAAAGTATACAGGCGGTAAGTTCAGTGACCTGGGACATTTGAATTTACATCTCACCCATGATTTCACCATTTAAACAAAGAGTGACAAGTTATCAGTATCCTTTAAGAAGAAAGTCTCTTCAAGGGTACTGTAAGGGTTTATTATCAAGTTATTAAATTGGCCTGGAAATGGTGTTAATGGGTGCTCAGGTAAAGGAGAAATTTGAGACACCGTTTTTGCATTTTATTACCAAAAATAGGAATCATGACGTCATTGGTAAGATACATTTGTGTAAATTCTAAGGGATTTAGGCAGTGAACACTGAAGATTTATCTGTTATCTAGAAAATGTATGTAAGGCAATAAACAATGAGTTTGTTTGGATAACCCTGACAGTACCCTTATACACACAGTAGTCAGTAATTATGGTAATGTATACAGTATATTAACATTTTTGCAAATATTTCTTTTATTTCAAACCATTTAGATTTTGGTGATAAAAGTTTTGCTCTGTTTTTCTGCCAAAATTGTCACTTCTTTGTCTCCTATTAATGTAATTCTGTATTCAACAGGATGACAGACCTGAATGAGCCAGTGAATGAACTGGTTCGATTGGTACGGGTGTACTCCACTCCGTGGGAAGAAAAAAGTGCGGCTCTGAAGAAATTACATGAAGATTATGAAAATAAACAAAGGCAGCTAAATGTGGCTATAAAGAGACTGCAGCTTGTGGATGCTCATGTGAGGGGCACAATATTACATACATTGTATAGATTGTGTGTAATAACAAGAAACCTCCCCCTGTACCCCCCCTCCCAACCCACTCAGACATTCTCAACTCCTGGATACCCCCCATCCCTCAAAACCTGTTGCCCCTAAACGATAATTTTGCTGACAAATAGTCCTGCAGTGTTTTACATTAATCTTTTTTTTTTTCGTTGAAAGAAGAAATCCAATAATCAATAGATTTTTCTTTTAATTTTGATTACCTTTTTTGTCATTCAAAGTGGAAGGGAGAGTAATCAATGAACACATTAGTTTGATGTTTAGCACTCATTTATAATTTATAATTCATGTTTTCATATTTTAGTCCAAAAGAATAGCCAGAGAGAAACGCATAATGAATTGGGAGAAACTTTTTGCACGCATGACAACTAAAAAAGGGCATGGCAGGCGCTGGAAGTTTCTGATAGAATCTGTAAAGGAGAAGTCTAAGCTAGGGTAAGGATTAAAGATGAATAATAGGCTTACATATGTCAGACTGGTACAAAATGGATTCCAGCTGGTGTCTTATTGTTATACAAAGTATCAGTATGAATTTCATTTAGTTAATTGAATATTTTCACCAAGTATGAATTTTATCAGATGTGAAATTATGGAATTGAGTATCCAGGCTACTTGTATCCCTATTTCAGTCTTGAGGTCCTGCAGGGCTATCTTCGTCAACTAGACAGAAGTGATGACGAGGAAGAAGATTGGGATGACGAAGAAGATAATAAAACACAGCTAATAACATCTGGGAATTCAGAACCTGCTGAAAGTGATGATGAACTACAGGTGATCTAAAACATATTATTTATCATGTACCATCAAAAACTATATATTGATTGTTTTTGTTGTTATATTTCACTAGTCTAATATTACTACTGTAATTACTCATTCTTTTCAACTGGGGCTAATTGTGAATTTTTTCAGATACTGTATTTATTAAGATACAAAATTAAAAGGCAGGCTTCCCTAAATTTCTATTCTATGCAGAAATAGCACCACACATGCTATACAGAAATATAATTATGTGATTATAAAATTATGTATTTAAAAGTTTGATATTTTTTGCCCATTGAAAAGATCGAGCCATTATTGTATTTGCAGTTCATAAACTCCAGCTTCCTTAACACTACATTTACAGTTTCACAGCATAACATTTTAAGTTTAAAGAAAGAAGCTGAAGTGAACTTACTTTATAAGTGACGTTTCATTGAGCCAACATCAGAATTTATTGGAATAAATCAATATACCTGAACTTGAAGTTTTAACAAGAAAATGCATTACTGTCTGAGCAGGGTGAAGAAGATGAGGGTAATGTGGGAGATGGCAGTAGCGTGGGCAGCGGGGAGGCCGAGCTGAAGGTGAAGATGCCAGGTCTCCCTGGAGAGGAGGAGGAGGAGTCTTCAGATGATGACGCTGATGACGAGGCAGAAGTTGATGCCAGAACAGAAAGCAGGAAAAGCTCAAGCAAGGTTTGTAGAAGTTAAAGCCTATACGTAAACAATTTTACATTCTTTCTCCTCAATGGAACCTTTCAGAATAGGGGACTAACTAGTGCGAGGGTCAAATATGGTGACCCACTGCAAAGCTTGCCATCTAATCTGCCAGTAAACACTGAATACACATCCCTGGGGAAGTATTCAAGTGGGTTGGCCATATTTGACCCTCGGACCCTATTCTGAATGGGGCCAATGGTGTTTTTTCTCTCATCATTGGGTAAATATCACATGTATCACTGTATAATCAAGAAATGTTTATTTGTACTTAGTTCACTTGCTGCTTTTTTTCTGATAATAGAAAGTCACGTTCGTGGAGCCAGAAAAGCCTGAGACGTCAGACAAAGCAATATGGACACATGAACCCAGTTATGACAGGTACCTTCACATCAGGGTTCTAAAACCTCAGGGTTTGGATGAAATCAGGGACCTCAAATGTGTGATCAGCTACAAAACAGAATTCTTCAAGACAAAAATACTAGATCCTTTACCAGTGGAATCGGTAGGTGCAAAGATACAAACTGGTTTGATTGTAACTAAATACACTAATCTATGATTATGGAAAGTCGGTGCAATAAGATATAGCAAAATCATAACTGTTAGCTTGTGAAGAGCAAGTTTTACTTTTAAGCAATTTATGTTATTTTATGGGAGAAAACATAGTAATGTTTTTAAAAGATTTTGGTATAATATATTTCAATTATTTTGAATATAAGATGGGGGAGTTTATTTGATGTTCATTTTTATTTTTTTAGGAGGATGAGGAAGAAAAGAAACCCAAATCCCCACCCAAAAAGAAGAGGGGTTTAATTGGTACCAAAGCTCCAGGTATTCTTTAAGATTTCATCTTATGTGGTGTTAAAAAAAACTATGGCATTTTAAAAAAGGCTCCATGACTGTTCAGTGTTGCAAATTTCATGTGCTTTATGTTCCTGGTTTGAGGACCTGTAGATAAATAACAGTTTACCAGCACATCTGGCTTCATTCACACATTTTATAACATCCCATCATATATAACTGATGATAGCCTCTGTAAGTGAATGGACATTTTTTACAGTGAGATATAACTTATTAGATGGCATAAGCTTTACAGGGATTCATATTTTATTGAAATTCAATTTTGTTTACAGTTAAAGAAGAAAAGAAAGAAGAGAAAAAACCAAAGGAACCTCCCATTGTGTAAGTTTTCTATTTATTTAGGTATTTTTATACCAGATTAATGCATATTACTGGTTTTTTATTATTCCACATCGGAGATGTTTCTTCTACCCTTTAAGTCAAAACTGTAAATAAATATAGAATAAATTACACTTTTCAGCTTTGAAGATTATGTGTTCAAAGTGCCCAATGAAGTCGCCCCTGGTGTTAAAAGGCCAGTGAGTATTATTCCAGAACACATCAAGGTAGCAGTGCATCATGGGCCAGAGGAAGAGATGTTTGCCATGGCAACTATTGATTTAAATGATATTGAAAACCAATTGGTAAGTTTTAGAATTTGATAAATGAAATGTGTTGCCCTTTGCCTTGTAGAATTTCAATTGAATGTTGCCATATTGAATAGGTTCAATAGATCCTTTTTGGTAATTCCCTCTATCAGCATTTTTTAATTCATAAATTAAATTTTCAACCGTCATTTACTTTCAAGTGTTGTTGTCCCATTTAAACCTGTACCTCATTCCAATATATATCTTAAATCAATCCTCATACATACACTGCACTGCTATTCCAGGACCTCCCCAGTATTATTGTACCCCCAGATGACCCTGACCCAGATGGAGAAGAGGGCTATGTTACACCCGTTCCTTCGGTGGATGGAAATCCAGCAGCTGCTCCCTTTGACCTCCAAACTGAAAAGGAGGCGTTAATAGCGGCCACATCCCCCCTGTCTTTCCCCCTCTACTCTATACATGCCACTAATGCCGCGGGTGTTCACATGCCTGCAGGAATGCAACCTCTGATTCTCTTCTGGGAGAAACGAACACAACTTCAAGTGGCGGATAAAAAAATTAGTAAGTTTTGATTATATATATGTACATATATCACTGATTCTAGATTTGTGAAAGGTGTATGGTAATGAGTTTGATAGTTCAAACATTATGTACAGTTTGATATTTGTAATTGATTACTTAATGTGCTGTCTTCCATATTTCATCATTAAAGACACTGTCTTTACTATTAGTCAGGGGTTTAGACATTTATTTAATTGTATGTTATCAGAATTTAATTTTTCCTCCACTCAGCGACTGCCTCTGCCACAGACCTTGTGTATGAACTGACCGGCATTGACCTAAGAGTGACCAGTAAGGAAGACCTTCACCCTGAAACTGTGGAGAAAGCTTTATCTGTGATGTCCATGTCCCCAGAACCCACCCAGGTAAAATTTTAGTTACATATCATAAAGGGAATAACTGAGAACAGAAATAGTTTTCTTGACAGTATCAAACAAATGGAAATAATGTGTGATGTCATGTGAGACAAAAAAGTCACAAGACTTTGGTTTATCTCAAGTGATTCCTATGGAACATTTTTGTTTTGATTAATTCCATTGTTTGATTGAACTAGTTTTTAGTGAAAGTTGTTGCGTTCAAACTATGATATTAAAAGGATTACAAGTTAGCATGCAAAGATGCTTCATTGTTGTATGCAAACAGTATGTACATAAGAGTTTCAATTATTCATTCATATTCCAATGCCATCCACATATAACTTACAGGTAGTTGCATGTTAAAAAATTTTTCATCCTTCTCTTTATTTATATTTTACAATCATTTGTAACTTTTATCATCCATACGTGGTGCATGTTTTATTTCTTGAAGGAAATTGTACCAAAAGAAGAGCTGGAACAAGTGATGGAGAAACACAAGGAGGAAATGGAGCTGCTACAACAGGAATACGAGTATGTGCATTGGCAACAGTTGTTCTCTCTTGACAACACAGAATAGTTTTTATAATGAACATGATTTGTGGTTTATGTATTTACTCATCTCTGTAATTTTATGAACTTTTTACATGTGCATTAACTTTTTCAAGTTTATGCAACTGTTCGTCGCTCTCCAGGAGGACCTATATATATATATATATATATATATATATATATATATATATATATATATATATATATATATATATATATATATATATATATATATATATATATATATATATATACACACACACATAGTATTTATTAGTATTCTTCTTTCTCCAGAGCTAGGCTACAAGAACTTGCAGAGAGTTTAGAGGATTTAAGAAACAACCCCAAGGTAGTGACAGTGGAGCGGACCAGGACTCCCAGTCCCAAAGTGAGGCAGAAGAGCCCCTCCCCTCCTCCAGAGAGGAACCGCCCCTCATCTGCACCAAAAGAAAAGGTTAAGAAACCCAAGCCAGTTAGGATGATAATACCACAGTATGTTTTACTTTTTGTTGTTTTATAGAGAATTTATTATTTAAAACTCCTTTAGACATGAAAAGTATTATAATCAAAAGAATAAAGGATAAACAATATTGTTTATTGTCATATTAACAAATTTGCTGCAGAGTATCTTTGTAAAAAACTCCTATGGCATCACAAATATCTTTTTTTTTTTCGTCAAGTCCTCCTACAAGACCAAAGAAGAATTTCCTAGTGGGAAAACCATTGCCTAAATGGGGAGAAACTTTGCCTGAAGATGTAAGCTGATAGTTTATTATGAAATCATTAAATGGCATGTTGGTATGAGCTGTACTAATGTTAATGAAGGTTTTGCATGCCACATGTTAGAATGACTAGGTAAACTTCATTGATTGTACCTAAAATAAAAACAAACTTGGTCTTTGGTGTTGTTTTACTACTTCCACTGCCATCTGTACATTATTGTTTTTGATAATGGTATAGATATATTGATCATTTGCATTCAATATGCACACATGATTAAGTTCACTTTATTTTACATTTCTAGTTCTTTGAGAGAATGCAAGTCTTGCAAGATGAGAATTACAAGAAAAAGAAAGATCTCCATGAAAAGACATTACGTGATATACAAGACACAATAGAGCGACAGCTAGCAACTCAATACAAACTGTCACATGACCCAGGCGGTGAGATGTATGACGCTTTGAGAGGTGGGTACCATAAAGGAGAGATATCAGGGGTGGATTGAGGCCGTCTTCTGGGGCTTACGGAAGATGGTCAGATTTTCAATGTTACATTGATGGGTATCTAATTTTTTCTGTGGGAAGATGGTCAAAAATTGAGAATGGATCAACAAGGATAATTTGGAAGACTGTCAGAAAATATCTCTGGTTCCGCCCCTGGGTATGGGAGTACGTAGGGGATTGAACTGAGATTTGTAATATAACTATTTGCTGCAAGTTTCAGGGTAACTTTTGCTTGTAAGATTTTTAAATTTAAATAATTAAGTTTTTTTATTTCTCAATTTTGTTCTGTAAGTTGGTTCATCTTGAATGCATTCAACTAAAAAATAATGCTTAAAAGTTTACTTAGATATGCCTTAAAGAGTGATTTTTCCTTGAATTTCAGATGTTAGTCTTCCTGCCTTATTTATGCCTTTTAAGAGTGGTGCTGTCTACAACCCTAGAGCTCATCAGTATTTTCATCCTACAGGTGAGTCACGGATTTTGACATCTGCTTTGCCAGGAGACTTTCATGGTTTTATTAACTCATTGGGTCTTTTTAAGTTGTTGGTAAGATCACAAGTAGTTCTGTACCCTTTTTTGATTTTTGTTTGTTATTTTCTTGCATTATTTTTCTCAGGTTCGTCAGACGTCAGGTTATCCCAACCTCCCTCGATGCTGCAGTTGCCGCCATTACCCAAAAATGTATCTTTTTCTTGTTGTGATATGTGAAAGTTATTAATTCTTTTATATTATTGTTTATTTTCTTAATATCTTCTTCCAAACTTTATTTTAATGTATGGCATTAAGAAACATTTGAATATTAATTTATCTAATTTAATTGTGAATTTGCACCATTTGGAAAAGAATGTTTTCCATATGATATGCATTTTCTGCAGTAAATTGATGTTGGGGCTAAATGAAAATATGTACTCTACTATTAACAAAATTCCTGTAAAATTACTGCTTAAACTTCTTTGACTGATCACCAGAAATTATCTGTTGTCAACCTCTTCGACCTGAGCCAAAATTTCCACACTCAAGGACCAGAGTGGCTCTTACAGCAGTACTACAGTCAACAGGAGGACGTACCCGAGAGTCGCAAGTCACGGCGTACCCCCATGACTCCCGCTCCCACCATGAATATGCCGCCATCTACAGTAGGAGGACCAAGGGAAGGAACTGTGGTCTCTCAGAAATCTGAACCTCCACCTGAGACACAGAAGGCGTGAATGGAAGAATACTTTTTTGCCAGATTTGATTTTAATCAGGAGACATGAGGAGAGTTTAATGCAGCTTCACCATTAAATACTGCTGGTAATAATCTTTCAGTATCTCTTGCTGTGTCCCCTGTGGTGCAGTGACAGATCTGTATTCAGTTTAGTTTATTCCTGGTTTCATGGCTGTATTTAACTCTTCTTGTTTTCACTGAGACAACACAAATATTATGTTAGTTAACAGGTTAATTTCCAGACAAAAACTGAAAAACTATTTCAGCCTATAACTGCATAAAAATAGCAGTTTGTTCAGAATCAAAGTTGCTCACAACCATAACCATATTTTTAAACCTTCAATAATACAATAGACAGAAAATACAGTTGATAACCCTTTTAATGTCAGACCAGTAGTTTTTACTGTAAGGTTGTATCCTATAGAGACAAAAAAAACCTCCAAAAGACGTCAGGTGAAAGTGTAACATTTCATTGTTGGGGGGAATACGAGAACTAAGAAGCATTCTTTGCCTTTTTATTTCTGATTGATTTAGATATGTTATCTGGTAAAATGTTGCATTTTATGACTAACATGTTATGTCCGCCAGGTGAACTGGAAACAACTTTTCTTGTCCTAGGAAAATATCACATCTTGTGAAAAACATCTGTTAGGAATTTGAGATTTGTGAGATAAAGAGGCAAACTGTCTTGATATATTTTCTTTATATCTACACGCTGCTCTTGAAGTCAAGGTTTAGGCCAATTTTAAATTTCTTTCAATTGCTCAAATAACTTTTTGGCACCCATTTTATTGCACCATGGCATCTCTGTCATCAGTGTCAATAAATATGTAGATATACCATACCAAAACACAATAATGTTTATGTAAAGGTGTGGTTTCAAATTGAAATAAATGTTCACAAGAAAAATCCATTATTTTACTATCTACAAGGGAAAAAATGACATTTTAAACGCAAGCAGATGTTTGTCTTTTACATAATTTTCATATGCATCCTTTTGTATTAAAATATTGGAAAAGAAACATGCATATGTTTTCAGGTGCACATTCTACTATACTGTTGTTTATTGTTGGCCTGGGTAGGGAATATTTCAATTTTTATTTACTTACAAATTCTGTATCTTACACTTCATGTTGTTGACTGCTATGGTGTATGAACTGAAAGGTTGGTGACTAAAAAGTGCCTTTACTTTTATCAAATACTGACCACATATTTGTCTTAGGTTAGTACTTCCCAAAGATCTGCTGGAGTTTAGCCAACAAATGTTTTGATCAATTTACCTGCTCATGTATGTGTACATCTTGTATATAACTGTATAAAACTGAATTTGAAAAATGCAATAAACACAGTCATTTAGAATGGTCTTTTTATTCATTTCACTTCTCTTATACAAAACTACAAGTGCACCTATCATACATAGAGTTTACACTTTTGGACAAGTTTGTCTCATTATCCGTTAATGAAAATATGATTTGTCTAGATCAAAACAATAAATAACAGTAATACCTAAAAATAAATACTGCAAAGAATTCAAATTCTCCAGTATCATTAACACACCTGGGAGACCCAATCTACATTTGAAAAAAAAAAGCTGAAAAAAATATTGAAAAGAGATGTTGGCTTCCATAAGGGCAAAAAAGCCCTCAAAAGAACTTAAATGTCATGCAAGTAAAATCTACGTAGCCATATACTGTCATTAAATTAACCCCCCCCCCCTTCCCCATTCACTAAGCTTTCTACAGGACTATAAGCTACAAGGTGCACGCAAATGTAGTCGGTCTCTCTTATCCGTCATTTCTCACCTTACAATACCTGTCTTCTGAAACAACTTCTTTACATTCTTAACATATTTACATCAATGAAAATGGCCAAATTCACAAATTTACAGAATTATTTCCACAAGCAACTTGATATAACATTTCACTGGTCACTTCATCCTACACATTGCTGATACAGCAAACCAACTACGGTAAAACAATTACTTATTAAGCAGTGAGCAATTAAAAATCTTCAAATACCACACAAATCAATGTATTCGCACATTCAAAACTCCTCATATTTGGTCAGGTTCAATTCTGGATGTGAATGTAACAGTTTCCAATCGAGATCATTTGGACAGTAGGCCATGAACAGCTCCCTCTATAGCCAGTTTACAGAAATCAAATCCAACCTCCAAGTCATTCCGACAATCCTGTATGATTTTTTCCCACAAGATATTGGAGGGTCTGCTGTCCAACAACCTTACCCCATTGAAGTTTCAGGACCTGAGATCAACGTGTTATGCCACAATTAAAGTAAATTAAAGTATAATGCCCTAGTGACTGACAGAGAGTGGACATAGGTCCACCTCTCACAAACACTTGTCTTTAATGCCTTTCTGTAGGATTAATGTCTGCTAGGGAATAATAACATCCTACATGCAACAGAGAGAAAGAGAGAGAGAGAGAGTATTAATAATTCATATCATTGCAGATTGACCGACGGCATTGCAACCTTCCTGTCTGCAAGCAAGACATGTCTATCTATAGAAGATAATTGAACATTTGTCCAGTGATGATTTTTGGTTAGGAGCATGCCATGCAGAAATCTTTTATTTTTTAACTTTTGAATCCTGCAAACTTAAAAAAAAAAAACTAGTGTTTTCTATCTGGAAAAAAGGAATGAAAACAATCTTCAAGCAACATTTTCAGTTGCCAACAAATGAGACTAGAGCCTTGAATGAGATAACAGGAGCTCATTTTGCCATCAATGTCTTAGCAAAATATTTCAACCGTCCTGATATTGCTAAGAATATTTGGAAAAAGCCAGATGTAATATGAAAGACGCTTGAATTAATGGAACAAGTATGTGCACATTGCTCAACTAAGAGAAGCAATAAATATACCAAACCAATGCAGAGTTGTTATGTGAAAGTTGCAGCATCTAATATTTGACTATTAAATAATCAAACAAGCTCTGGGTGTTGTTATCTTTTTCAATATCATCCTGTTTTTATGCTTTGATGTTTTTTACTCATCCTGTAATGCAATACATTGCGAACCCAAGGTCAAAGGTCATATGTCCCAAGCCTCCTTGTCTGTAGTATCCATGTAATACCACACAGCCCTGAGAGTGTCTAAGAGGTAGGCTTTGGTCTGCCTTCATTGATAATAAGACTAAATCATAATGATGAGTAGCATATTTTATGGTCTCCACAGATTTGGATTCAGCTATATCGATGTTGCAAATTTGCATAAGTGGCTTCGATGGAAGGATTGGTCTTCAACTGAAATGGCCTTCCCCAGAACTTCCTTTCCTTCACTGGCAGTGACAAGGTTTCATTATTGCTAACTCCCCTCTGAGGTAAAACGTGTGTGAGCAATGAGAAGGGGTGCTCTTCCTGTATTCAAGCAGGTGATTATGACCCTTAAGCTAACAGTTTTCCCACTCGATAAAGATGGAAGATCCTCATGGGAAAATTGCTGGAAATGCCACTTATCAAAATACAAATTGTATTAACTGATATATATTAATCATTGATTGAACACAACAATTTGTATCATGCAATTATGGGTTTTAGACATGAGATGTTGACCCCAGTGATAAACATCTTTTTTTTTAACATTCCTGAGCGGGTGACAGAGTATTTTCTCTTCAATTCTGATGACAGGCTAATAATCACATGTTGAATCATATTTTCAACTGAGATCGAAAATCAAGCACACATACTTTTACAGGAATATATCACCAAGAAAGACAACAGAAAGAGAGAAAGACAAAAGATAATTATAAAATGCACATGCCTCCATCTATGACCAAGTGTCAATTGTTACCTCTGATAATGCATATGCATGTACATAACCATGTTTGCAAAGTTTCAAATATTACATTGCAATATGTGAAAACCAGAAATAATTTCTTCTTGCAAATTTCCACTCCACAGTTCAACTTTCTTTCTATCTGACGTCAATGGCTTTAGAACTGCAGAAATTTCTGACTCATCCCAATAGATAACAATAATTGTGAAAAACTGATTTGATAACAGATCCTTAAATAATGAAAGCACTGCTATGTTCAAAATTCAATGCCAAGGATAATATTTTGGACAAAGCAGTGTCACAGGAGTTAATCCAGCAGAAAACTGCCACTAATGTACAATCAATGTGGTGAAGAATGGTGGCACATTAATCCATTAAATCCAAGCTGATCCAGCCAGCCATTCATGGTCCATCTCTTCCAAAATGTCTGGATCCACATCTTTTTAGATAATACAATTTCACTATAATCTTCTGGGAACCACAAAATAAAGGGACACCAAAGATATTATTCAAAAGCCATGACTCTGAAGGCTAATCAGTATGTGATGACTTCTCTAGAGCACAGCATTTACTGTCTGGATTTCATGCTAAATCATTTATGTATCACATATCTTTAAATCTAAAAATACTATCCAGTTAATCATCTCATGCTAACAGAGGAAATAAAGAGAAATTTTGAAACTGTATCATTTGTTTTTCCATTGAAATGGTGTCATGTATACACATCATTTCTAATCCAAACTTGACAACATCTTAGCCTGAAACATTGAGACTTATGTGACAAACAATATCACGGTGATAAATGACGAGTGTTTATAGGGAGAGTCTGCTTACTGTCCCCCCCCCCCAAAAAAAAAGTAAAAAAAACTAGTATGAGTTATAAAAACATGTATCATTTTAGCACACAATACATGCTTTCATGCCTCTTCTTGTATTTAATAGTTGTAAATGTCTATTATCCTTCCTTGAGACTTTCTCCCCAATCCTGTCATTTCCAACTGAAACAGTCTTGCTATCTCATTAACACCACATTAGCTTCCATCTTCACTGTTTGTGGCTCCATCTACAGCCTTGCAGTGATACCACATCAGCATCTATCTTCACTGTCTGTGGCTCCCCCTACAGCTTTGTAGTCCACAGTATAATGCCTACAATGTATGCAACTTGCAGTGGAAACCCCCTTTAGAAAAAAGCTTGAAGAAACAGTACATTTTGATTCCCTGCCTGTGTTTTATTTTCTCCGACTCTTCCTGTATCGTATGGGTCTGTAGATGGATGGGTCCAGGTTAATGGCAGTATCAGGAGGTAAATCTGAGATCGGAATGACACATTTTGCATTGGATGCCACCTGAGCTTCTGAGACCCATTCATCCGGTAATCTAAAACAGTAAGAAAAAAAAGATAACGAGGATTGATATGAGACATGCAAAAATCATTAGTTCAAATACAATAAGAAGCAATTTCTTAAATTCAATCTGTACAGACACTAAAAATAATTTTTTTAGACTAATAAAAAATTGACCCTACATGCGTCCAGAAAACTCTCAGCTACAAGTGAAATAAAACAAAACCAGACTTCAGGCCACATAACCACAAATGATAAGTTTTCTTAATTTCTTACACCTTGTGAACAAATCTTCGTGCCTTCAGTTGGAAAGCACACAGATGCTATCAATCTCTCAGGAGTGATATTGCTAAGTTTTATTCCCTGTGTTGTTTTTGCTAATACTTCAATAACTGACTCCAGCAGGCTCTTGTTGGTTTTTCTTAACTGAAAGGCTGCAACTCTTTACTTTGGATTGAAATATAACAACATTTAATCAAAACCACTGTTTTTTAATAGTCTGTGATAGTGGGCATTAGTCTGGGATAGCTCAAGTCAACCCTAACTCTCCGTGTTCTGTAAAAGTCTTCCACACTACCAGGACAGAGGATCTCATAGGATCTGGACCTCAGGAAATGCTTACTGAAAGGTTGAAACTGTTATTTTCATGACAGGGAAAACTGTCAAATACTGTTCAGAGCACTGGTTCTAGAAACTTCTTGTTTTACACATGACTGCACCATATAGATCTGCTGCTGACCTGGGAGACTTCTTATAACGGACATGTAGCCTAGCTAGCCATTTTAAAGGGAATTCTTTTCTAAAGAAGTAGATCATTTTACCCCCTAAGTTAACCCAAATTTTACACAGGCAGAGCATCTAAATCAAAGTGGACTTTTTTGGCATAAAGGGCAATTCTTTTGAACCCCCTCCCCCTTTCCTTCCAAATCTCCAGCCTATGGACCTGTACAAGAATCTGGGTAGTTAAACCAAAGAGAATCCAAAAAAGCTCCCCGTTACAAACACAGTCTTAAGACTCATTGACAGCCAGTACATCTGTAAAGACTGTATTCACCTGAGCAGTCTCATTACCTGAGGAAGACGCTCTAGATACACAACGAAATATTGGAAATATGCAACATTTACAAAGATGTTGACTGAGGAAGAAAAAATTACTGCTTTATGATATGCAGCGTAACACAGCTGATAAATTCTTCTCTGATCACTGCCAGCACTTACACATCTTCAGGACTCCAACGAAGCAGGACCTTCACCTTCCCTGTCTCTTCTGTTCTTCTACATATCACCTAAAATAAAAACATAAATCTTAATTAAAACCCTTCCTTGTCAAATGTGTAACAAGTCAAATATTCATCAATACAAAACAGATATAGGGAAGACATGGTTGTTTAAAGGAACTTTTATCTTTTATGTTATTGTTTTGAAGGTCATTTTGGGGTCAAGGTCATTTGCAATCTCTTTCTTTCTCATCAATTCTACTAATGTACACACTTAAGAAGTAAGCATTAGCCACAAAGAGGACCATCCTTCATTTTAGTATTAATGAAAATGAGCAGCACACTGCCTTCACAATGAAGTGAATCTAGAATGAAGTAACCTGAGTGTTAATGCTGCTTAATTAAAGAAAGAGGACAGGAGCAGCAGACAAAGCAGGCAGGAGTAATCTGCTATAATACATGAGGTGCTCTTTAGAGTCAAACCACCTGCTCTAATTTCCCTGCTGGTGACACCTGTGTGCCAGGTACAACAAATCACTTGTCACAGCACTTAGTTGGGAAACATGCTTTGTCCAGACTTATGTCTTATACTCTGTTTTCTATAAATTATTGAATTCAGTACACACAAAAAATGCATATGCTATGGTTCATTAATTTTTTTTCATCCTTTGCACCATCCTTTTCTGTCAAAGACAAGAATAATATTCTTTCTTACAGAATCAAAATATTTCTTCAATCTGGGCCACCATGTGATTATGCAACGAGACAAAGATCACCCCCCTCCTTTACACTGAAACCAAGCATGGCGCCCTTTTCCACCCTTTTGCTTTTCATCTTTTTATTTCCAAATAGCTGCTGCGATATGAATTACTGGGAAAACCACCCTGTCTGCAACAGTGAGTCTGTAAATAGACCCAGGTCAATTAGTTAATACACAGGCCAGTCACAACAAACAGCCCGCTGTCATAGGGGCAGGGCCCCAGTGCCAGGAGAACACGTCCCCTCCAAGACTGTGGGACCTGACTGTTTGTATAGAGCTCTTAACATAAAATTGTGTGTTTATCAAATGTTAACACTGCTGTCTTGACGCAGACAATTGTGACAGCCCATTTTAAACCAAGGTTACAGAGGAATAGAGCAACAGGGACTGCAGGCTACCTCTGTAATAAATGTTTTGTGATGGAAATAGGCCTAGGGCACCTTGGGGCCAGACAATGTGCCAACAGATACAGAGCTAGCAATTTAGAAACCCTCCTCAGAAATTAAGAAACTAATTGAAACCATCAGGCTTCAGCAGCCCTGCCATACTGAGGAATGCATCATTCTTTATCAGTCAAAGCAGTCATGGAGAATGCTGTCACAGCATTATATAGTTTCTTCTCTACAATACCATTTCCGTTATTCACACACACACACACACACACACACACACATGCACGCATGCATGTGCCTGTCCACATATAGAAACATGCATTATGATATATGCAGTGTACCCGTGACTTCGCATAACAATGCACCAAACTATAACTACATGCACACTTCCAATTTACTTTAAACACTACCACAAAAAATTTTTTTTGAATCACCTGTATATGATCTGGACACCAAATAGCAAACATATTTCTGTTAACAGGGACCATCTCAGTTGCTAAACCCCTTTTCTATAATATTTTATCTGGTGAAATAAAAAATATACTCAAAATATGCCAGACTGCAGCAAAACAACTGTATTTCACACAGGAATTCTATCAGCCAGTACAACTGGTTCTTCTGATATCTTTGAAAGGAAACCACACTGAAACTGTATACCACCAGCCTTCTAGAAAGCATTTTATGAACTTAATATCTATATCAACTTCAATCACCATTCCTCATTTTTTCTCATTATCAAAGCAATTTATAGAGCTTTTTGTCATTTTAAATTTAATTTTCATGTGAATAGTACCTTTTGTAAATTTGTAAATAAAGGGGTTTGTCACAAAGATCCTAAAATACATACCATGCACTCTATACTAATCTCTATCAGTTCAAGTAGTTGGATAAATGTATCCTGGCAGAAACTATTCATGTTTCATATTGCAACATATGACAAGACAGTCAGATTTAATAAAGTAACCATACATCACAAAGAGAGACAGAGGCAAGTCCATATTTGAACTAAAATACCCTGTCTATGATGACAAAAGTTTCAGGCATGTAAAATAAAATGTCTGTCCATTTTAATAAAAACAGCTGTACCGGCTTGTAGGCACTAATTTATTAACCATCTGACCTCCATCATCACTGGTGTCAATTTAATTATAAATCAATTCATGGGCCACGACCTCTTAATTCAAAGAGATTACATAAATATTCCACACTGATATTTTTGGACAACTAAGGAGCGTGGTTTTAATCATGTAGCTAATATGAAGACACGGAATCTGCAGACCTGTTTTTACAGTAATACAGGAATATGTTTTGGAATATATCTGTCATTCTTATGGGCCTAAACACTTGTTTTTATTTAGAAACTACATCAAATTTTAATTGTATGATAAAACTTGGTGTCTCCATATCTGGCAATACTAATAACAAAGTAGACAACAAAGAACTAGAACTCCATACACGTCACCTCCAGATGTTTACCATGGTAAGGTACTCTCCAACCACAGAGGCTGGGAGGTGGCCTGATTAACAAAATGGCCACACCTGTCTCTGGCTCCATTATCCATATCCACACTATTCAGGTATTCAGCGAGCAGGAAACCACAAATATGATGACAGCACTACTGAATTTCCTAAGGCATTTTTTTTCCACAACTCATTAACAAACTGTTGCCTCTGGTTCTGCTCTAGCTCCCTGTGACTAGCACTAATGGTTTACCTCTCTACTCCTAGTCTTTGTTATACCTGGCTGCTTTCAAAATCCTATGTTATCACTTAAATCTGTAAAATTATCACACTATATGTCCTTCATCTTTTTATCTGAAATCCTTTTTATAACTGAATTCCTTCAAAACCTTCTACCTTATCTTCTTTACAAAACTGTTTTGATTTATGCAAGGAGTTATAATCTGTTATAACTCCTTGATTTATGGATTTATTCATGCAGTAAAAAATACCCATATCACAAATCTATATTATTCAATTTATCTAGCACTCTAATTAATATGTGCCAGAATAAAATGGGACAAATATAAAAAAGAATGAGAGCAACAAAACTGTCAGCTTAATCCCACTGCATGAACTCAGAGGACATTCAGAGCATGTTGATCGGCAGACTAACAGATCTGCGGACTTAATATGGCCTTGCTTTCCCAAGTCATGCAATCATTTTCAGGTAACACACAAAATATACCAGTTTTACAGAAAAACAACCAGATAATTTTTTTTCTTTTTTTTTTTTTTTCTTGACCATTTTCTAGGCACTTGAAGAAAACATGTTAATGTTATGTATGTTTGCATTTTTCTCAATGTCTGAAGTCTCTTTTGTGCCGTTTACACACAGAATCATCAATGTTTTTTAGTATGAACTTTGATTGGATGGAGACAATGAAAATAATGGGCATGAAATCATCAACTTTTCTACTTTATACTACCACAAATGCATGAAGACTTTTTTAATCTACTTCGAAATGAATGAACTTCAGTTAAATCCTTTGTTCCTTTCTGCGTTTTCTTTGTACCCACAAAAACCACAGGATTTCCATAGGATAACAGATTAAATGCCATCTGCCTTGATAACAATATAATAAATTGGTAATGTGTTTCACAGCTAACACTGGAAGTCAACAAAGAACTACAAGTTATGTACAGGTCATCAGTTTCATGCAACATTCGCTTTCATGTCTTGATTTAAAATGGAGTGTTCTTTTACTCCACACAACTCTGCAATACTCAGCCACAACATCACAATACACCACAATTCTGCATAAAATAGAGATCAACAGTTTTTTTTTCTGTCATGAAATATCTAGTGTTTGCACTCAAGGCAATGGTTTATTACATATATAATAATCAAGTGCCACTTTACACTTAGAGTTCAAATATGCCCTTGTTAATAAACTAAAACCTACACTAGCTTCATATATATATTCCCCACATTTTTAAGTAATATTTCCACTTGTTACTGTAAATTACATATATATTATGTATATAATGTAACTATGAAACATGTAATTGCATTTACGCTTGTAAGCCTGATATCACATAAGTGTGATAATATGTCTAGATATATATTACATGTATGTATAACACAAGTAGTTTAGAGGGCCTGTAAAATGTACTGAAATATTTTAGTGCTCAATAAATTATTATTATTATTATTATTATTATTATTATTATTATTATTATTATAACACAAGATTTTGACATATAATGGCATGCAAATATCAAATAACAGAACTGTTCAGACCACTAATACACCCCCTTGGTACTGACACCCTCATATACACCATGCTATTATCTGAACACAGCTGGGAACACCCACATCACAGCGTGTTACAAGAGTTCCCACTTTTGATACGCCCCCTAGCACTGTAACCCTAACCTCAACTCAGTCCAGACTCCATCCACTGGCAGTCTGCCAACCAGCCACCTGGCCAGACGTTGACCAACTGACCCCTACATTTGACCTCTCTACTCTCCAGTCTCTTCAGTACACAAACCATCTACATTAGTATCTACATAGATGCTAATTCCCTGTGGTATTTACTCACCTGAGCTCCACAGTGGTATATATCAATACATATGTCAGGTTTCATTAAGTGATTCCACCCTACTCAGTGCAAGGACCTGCGTATTAAGAAAAATCTAGGATCTCCTTCTTTAAGACCAAAAGTGGCAGGCTATTTTAATGGAGGATAAATCTGTACTACAGTAGCTGTATATATGGCCTATATTAACCTAACTTGCCTACAGCTGGACAGGCCTGCCAAAGCCTTGTAAGTGACATACTACTGATTTTTCATGGGTGAAAGTAAACATCTCCTTCCAGCGTTTAAGTTGAGATGAACAATATAAGTTCTATGGTCAATTTGGGGAACTTGCACCCCATTTCCATAGATTAGATCGACCTACTTTAGATCGACCTAACTCCCTGGGGGTTCACGCTAAATAGCTGTCAGCCGGGCGGACACGAAAGTTAATTACCCACTTACAGCTTGTAGTAGGCGGGACGGACATTTAAGTCGGATTATCTGAAAGTAATCTAGTGAGACTCCCTGCGGGGATAGATCGATCTAAAATCTATGGGAATAGAGCCTTGGATCACAGTTCAAACCAACAGTTGATCCATGTTGCAAAATCAGAGTGAACCAACATCTAGTTTTTAAAGAGACCCAAACTTTATTAGGCTTCCTATCTTGGCTAAAACTAAGAGAGCAATTTCTTCATGACTGATTTCTCTACATGATAAAACACAATATCAGGTAGGGTCTCTTCTAAAGCTAAAAAGTGTCCCCAGTAAAGAAAAAGCTAACCTTTCTACTATTACATAAAGAAATTTCATGCCTCATGTTGACCAAGATAGTCTGAACTGGTGTTCAACTGGACAGCCACTGTTTTTCTATTCACAGAGAAATAACATGACTTGTTTTATGCAGAAATATTACTGCACATGACACTTGCAATTTTCAACATTTTATCATCTTGTATCATGGTGTGTCTAGGACGTCATGCATGTAATGCTACTGATGGGATTTTAAGGCAGTGGCATTTGTTGTATCCTTGAAATGACCCAGAATACCCTACCAGTTCATGGCCACTCAGGGCCCAGAAAACCCTACAAGTTCATGGCCACTGGGGGCCCAGAAAACCCTACCAGTTCATGGCCACTTAAGATCCAGAAAACCCTACTAGTTCATGGCCATTTAGGGTCTAGAAAACCCTTCCAGTTCATGGCCACCTAGGATACAGAAAACCCTACTAGTTCATGGCCATTTAGGGTCTAGAAAACCCTTCCAGTCCATGGCCAAAAAAAGTTTGTGGCCATTCTGAACCCAGAAAATCCTACCAGTTCATAGCCACTCAGGGTTCAGAAAGCAATACCAATCCATGGCCACTCAGGGCCTAGAAAACCCTACCAGTTCATGGTCACTCAGGGCCTTTAAAACCACACCAGTCCATGGCCACTCGGGGCCTAGAAAACCTTACCAGTTCATGGCCACTCAGGGCCTAGAAAACCATACCAGTTCATGGCCACTAAGGGCCTAGAAAACCATACCAGTTCATGGCCACTAAGGGCCTTAAAAACTACACCAGTTCATGGCCACTCAGGGTTCAGAAAACTCTAGCAGTTCATGGCCACTTAGGACCCATAAAACCTTACCAGTTCATGGCCACTCAGGGCCCAGAAATTCCTTACCAGTTTGTTGCCACTGAAAATAATGTGCTAATAATAATGTTACTCGTGTGACATCATGAAAAGAAGAAAACACGTAAGGCTGCCTTCTCTTTGTGTCAGTGTGTATATTACATCATTTTGATGGTCAATTTCCCCAGTTTTCACACAGTACTCTATTGTAAGTTATGTGATTATAGACATATTTACTGTAAGCAAAAAAACACTGCCAGGGTGACCAAGTACAATTTATACTAGAGAAACAATGCAGTGCAATACGGTATACCACAGAGAATTAAATTAATTTATTCTGAACAGAAGTAATATGAATTTTCTCACTGGTTTCACAGAATTTCTAATGCTAAGTTAACTGGCTTTTTGTTTCACACACACGGCCAATACCACACACTTACTTGGAAAGACATTCCACAATATGGGAAAGTAAAAAAAAGTCAAGTACAAAATGATGTTCAGTTTCACCTGTGATATTAAAATAGTATATTTATAAACACCTTTAATAATATACCTTTCTGTATAGTAATATTCCAAGTTAGCATGTCATACATGTATACTGTTATGCTTAGCAAAATACACTATTCTATTAAAAATATTCTCAGAGTATTTTCATATATTTCTCCTTAACTACCCATTTATCCTATATTAAAAAAAGAGAAAAGTGCTTAAAATCATGACAGAGCTGAGGTATCCAGATAAAAGGTGAAAATATGGAAGGTGAGAAAATCAGACACAGAAAAAAGCAGTTGGTGACCAGTAGAGATTTTCCCCCAGCGGTGGCTGCCGCCAGGTTGTGATATATGTCCACACACACAGACATACAAGGCGTCTGGACTCATCACTGCCTGCATACAACTACTGGAGGACAGTGGATTGTTCACTAGGCTTGTTCACACAGTGACGACTTCAGATAGGAGTAAGAACTAACTGATGTTCAACCAGGCTTATTGGGGAGGCAGCATGATGCGGCAAATAAAAAAAAACACATTAGATACAAAGCACATGTGCAGTTTGGCTTCTTTTTGCAGTGACACAAACTTGCTCACTAAAATTGGGCAATGACCCCACTGGCTTGGAGGTATGTGGTCCACAGTAGAAAGGCATTTTCATTAACTGGCATTAACAAGTTAGAAAAGTGCCACAGTGAATTGCCTGCATTACCTAGCAAGAAAATGTATGTTTGTCATTCACCTCTGTGCCCTCTGTGCACTCTGTTGACACCATGCTAGTGGTAGAGATGTGGTAAAGCAGGCCAATGTATCTTAATCTGCTGAGAGCTAGGCTAACCTCACAGAAGAAACTCTTAACAGAAATTAGTATGCCAGTGATTGATGAATGGCCAGGCACAGTGCCTTTTTTGTTCTCTTTCCTTAATTTTTGAGATGCCTGATGAAAGCATCTGTAGATCAATTCACTCACGCCATTAGTTTATGTCTTTATAATTACAAAGAAATAGAAAGATGGATTAAAATAATGAGGACATCAAAATCCATTTAAACACACTCCCAGGTGGAGCAGTATTTGAAACTGGAAATTCTCTTTATATTCCATAAATGGCGTCTTTTATAACACAATCTATCTCCACCACAAAACTCACTGTGAAAATTCATTGAGAGCTGCCACTCTCCAATGTGGTGTATACTTCCCATATTTGTATATGATTAAAAAATGAATACAATGACAAAACCTTGGAAACCTCTGATCAAATATTCTGCCCAGCACAATATACATGTTAAGTAACAGTTTTGCCAGTACATACTGTGGTATTGACAGTACTGAAATAATGACAATATTTACATGAATGCTATATCATGTCTAGTGAATGAAATGTTTAGGTTATTACTACATTGTTTTAGTGATGATTTTTCTTACAATACTGAAGAATGTTACAGTGTTGTAGCATTGTTGATGTACTTACATTGCTGTGGAATGTCACAGTGTTGTAGCA